TAAATATATTAATTAGGAAAATGTTAATACTTTTTGATTAAATTTAAATTTATCAAAATTTTTCAAAAATTTTTATATTATGTAGTATTCATCTCTTTAATAATAACCAGTGGCTTAGCTAGCCTCGAGGGGGCCCCGTATCAAAAATCTGGTAGGGGCCCTTATACGGGAAAAAAATTTCTGGGTGTCACGCCCAAAGTCTGTTTTGGGCAAACACAAAAAAATTTTAGGGTATCATTTTTTTGCATTTACCAATTTTTTATAATATAATAGATAATATACATAGCTTTTTATGTAGGTACAGGCAAATTTTAAAATTTGGTCTGGTTTTAGACATTTACCGTTCTTCAAGATTAAAAGTATTTTAAAATAAAGGCAAGTCATTTGAAATAATTGTAACGCTAATATTAATTTCTAATTTGCTATTAATATAACCTATGATAATAACACGCAAAGCAGACTGCGGCGCAGAGCATCTAACAATATGCGCAGACTGCGCCGCAGACAACGCATAGCGGAAAGATGCGGGCAGAAACAATTCGTATAAGTTCACGGCCTCGTTGGAAAAGAAGGGTATTCAGGAAAATTTTAATTTAATAAATTGAAGTATAAACAATTAAATAATATTATCATTTATTTATTTAATTTCATGTCTTAATTTTTTTAACTTTTGGTTAATATGTTTTTTTGCTTACGCATGTCGATGCCAATCGGGGGCCCCCTAGCCGGCTGATACCGCGGTAGCTACGCCCCTGATAATAACCAAGCTATAAGTTAAATCTTTTTTTTATAAAATATTATACAGGGTGTTTTCTATGCTCCGTTGAAAAAAGCGATTTTAAAAGTTTAAAATCTAATTTTTTTTCAATGGAACACTATAAGTATATTTTTTACATAATTGTTTGTTGTTATTTTAATTTATTTATTTTAATAATGAAAATTTAACTAAGCTAATTGGAAAACCCACAAAATTAATTTTCTACCTTATTTTCTCTTTGGGAATACCCTCAGGAATAAAACAGGCACGAGTGAATAATAATAAGAGAACAATAAGGTAGAAAATAAATTTTGTGGATTTTCCAATTAGGTACCTTAGTTATATATTTCCATTATTAAAATAGATAAATTAAAATAACAACAAATAAAACTGCTCTTATATATATATATATATATATATATAAACTTTTTTTTTCTAAATTCCAAAGTCTAAAAATAATTTATAATAACCTTTATCCTACCAAAAAGTACGCCACTGATCGACTAGGAACTTTAGGTTAATCTGGTGGATTTATTATGTTATGGTTGGTAACATTGGCGTTTTTATTAATTGTTGGTTATTTCATTTTTGTACTGAAGGTAAATTCAAACAAAATCTGCCAACTTTTATGACAGAATCTAGTGCATTTCTTTTAAATTTTAGGTTATTTTTTCAAATTGTAATTATCTTAACTAAGGGAAGTGCTTTTGGATTTATTTACACAAATTAAATGTTTAAAGTTTAACCTGTGAACTGGTCCCAATTTTATCTGAGTAAACAGAGAAAAAACTGATGAAAAAATTTTGTGGTTATGGATTTCAAATTTCAAAGGTACTAAATTTTCTAATCATTGCTTAAGTAAATAAATACATAAGGGTATTAGAGCTTTAAGGGCATAAAACTTTTGTATTTATTGAGTTTTTATTTATTTTTTGCAAGAAAAATTTTTAGTAACAATTTTTTACATCTCGGCCATTTCAAGCGGATGGACGGGACAAATCACAAAACTGTTTTTATAAAAAAAATTGTAGGTAATTTATTATATATTATTTTTGCATCAAAATTGTCAAATATATTCTTCTATTATTAGGCTATACATTAAATAAAAAAAATCGCAAGAAATATTTTATAAAAGTAGAGATAATTTCAATAATTGACAGGGGATGGACGGGACAAGATAAATCTTTTTTTTGTCCCGTCCACACCTTTCAATTATTAAAATTATATCTACTTTTATAAAATATTTCTTGCGTTTTTTTTTATTTAATGTATAACCTAATAAAAGAAGAATATTTTTGACAAATTTGATGCCAAAATATTATATAATAAATAATCTACAATTTTTTTTATAAAAACAGTTTTGTAATTCGTGCGTTTCGCGCGCTTGAAATGGCCGATCTGCAACGCAAAGCTACTTTGTTGGTTGGTATCTATGTACTCACAAAATACAGGTGTGCAGATATAAACAAGTGTGTAACCAGTGGCGTATCACAAAAAATATAAAAAACTTCTAATGCATATTTTATCTTTATCTTTGGAAAAATGTGTTTTTAAATATTTTTCCTTTATTCCTTATGTCAAAAGGTATTCAGTATTTTAATATATAACATTAATTACATAACACCCTGTACATATATATATATATATATATATATATATATATATATATATATATATATATATATATATATATATATATATATATATAAATGTATATAAAGAAAGGAAATTACCTATTCTATCCAATTATGTAAAAATTTATAGGGTGTTCCTTTGAAAATAAGAAAGTTGGCATCGTCCAACACCCTGTATAAATGAAAATATAGTATATTAAAAATATTTTTTACTTCGTGAATATTTCTCCCAAATTTTTTGTGACTCCAGTAGTTTCTGAGATAAGTATATGGGTCACCTTACGTGGACCACCCTGTACATTTTACTCTGAAAATTTTACTTTAAAAATTTTTTCATCTAAAAATCTTAAACCTAGAAACCTAGAAACGAAGATACAGCTATCCGAAAAATCGCTAAAAATTTGGAATTTTTTATATCCTTTGATTTTTTACATTGTTATTGGTTTCAAACTACCAAATAATAAGAAATCAGATTTTTTAGTCTCGGTAAAAATTTTCAATAATGTAAAATGTAAGTAATATATTCTAAATTTAAATGTCCCATATACTTACCATGGAAACCATAAAACTTAATATATTCTAAATTTAAATGTCCCATATACTTACCATGGAAACCATAAAAACGAAACGTCTAGTATACCCTACGGCTTTTGACACAAAAGTCAAATTTGAGGTTATCAATGATTATTAATTATTACCAAACATTTTTATAAAAACACCGGTTGTAGAAAAAATCCTATGTGTAATTCTAGCGCAAAGTGACATTGCCGCTCTCGCGCTTCAAACTTCTCGCTCAGAGCGACAATATATATATATATATGATATATCACTTTGCGCTCTCAGTACACAAATAGCTATTACCCGGGAATCCCTGGACGTTTTCCCTTTGGGTGTTTGACCCCTCGGCGTTTCCATAGAAACCAAGTGATTTTAAGAATAAGATTTTCAATAAAAATTGTTTTTGTTAATGTCTCTTTAAAAATTTGTAATACAAACATAGAAAAAGGTTTTTATTTTTTTTTTTTCAATGTATTTCCATTTTAAGGATTTGTCCGGAAAAGATTGAATGATGTGATTGAAATAAAATTCTATTGGCTTTTATAAACCTTAAAAAATATCTGGTTAGATTAATAATTATTTATCTTAATAAAAATGTTCATACCTAGTTAATAATAAATGTTTTTAACTTATGCAGGGTATTTTATAAAACTTGTATACGTGGTTATTTTTTATTAAGTTCTTACTTACTTAAATGTTGCATATACCTATGTCCGATTTTCATCCCATCTTGACATAACTACATAATTCTTTTCTATTTATTTTTTATTACTACATTTAAGTTAAGTAGTACTAAACTTAAATTGAAAAATATTATATTTTAAGATACTTTTGGTTGGTAGGTAATATTTAAAAAAATATTTTTTCTGAATTGCACAAAACCTGTGTTCAGCTAAGGCCTCTCACGAAATCAGATCGTGCTCTAAAGCATACTTACAATAGATTTAAAGTCTCATTTAACCTATTATAAAACCAACTTATAGTAGTTTTCACCAGAAAATTTTAGTAAAGGTCAAAAAGGCATGATATGTATATCTTAAAGTGGCCTAATAGTACAGCATGAATAGCGTGTGTGTTTTTACAAATCAATTTACTGTGATGAGTTATTTTTAACCTAGATATGTATTTTTAGTTCTATTTATGTAATAGGAGGATATACTACTTTTTAACCAATGATAACACTTTTTTTAATATATTATTATTATTATTACATTAGTCGTACAGAAAGCTCGCGTTATAAATAACTTTGTCAATAATAAATAATTGTGATTGATAATGTATTAATTGTTGTAACAATTTAAATTATTAATTCCACTTTGATTTAACAGCATTGGATATAGTAACTACTTATTTAGTAAGCACATTAAAAATAAGTAGGTAAATTAAGACCTGTTCTATGGAATGCAGAATTATATATATTATGTTATTTAATTTTAATTACGTACAAGTATTAACTGAATTTGTTTAATTATTATGGGCAACCTTGAAAGAAATTGTATTTGGTTTGCACAATTATTCCAATAATATCAAAATACCTTTATGAGGAATTAAGTATTTTTTGGTGACTTTAATATATTCGGTTTACATTGTTTTAAATATTCAGTTTTAAAAAATGTATAATACAGTTAAAGAAAATTAACAATGCAGGAAATTTAGATTATTTGTGTCATTGTGTCTTGTAGATTGATAAAATAAAAATAGTACCTAATTTTAGGTTGCAACCATGGTTATCATTTACTTTTTAAATCCCTAAACCTAGTTAAAATTTATTATGATATAAAAAAATATACCTACTTGTTATATTTCTCGGCAATCCCATAAGAAGAATGACACATGTTTCTTAAAATAACCCGTAGTTTTAATTATTTAAAAAAATAGTTCAACTTAATTATATTGTAATATTAAAGTGAAAAACTAGTAATTTAAAATGAAATATACTTTTCAATTAATTTATTTCTTGGTAAAAGTGTCCCTGATGTGATAAAAATAGATTCACGTAGACCACCCACGTAAATACATAATTCAACATAACAAAATTGTTTTTATTTTTAGGTAAATTATGAATGATCGCACAAAAGACTCTCTTTGGGAATCGAATAAATTAATAATAAAACAAGAACCTTTTGGAGAAAACAACATGAATCCATCAGCGAGCGTTCCAATTCCTTTAAGGAAGGATGTACCTGATTACCGCGACTTCGGGCTGGAATTGGACAATTCCGACTCGCCGTTATATACAAATCTTTTGGATCAATTCCAATCGTCAAACTCTTATGGCGACAGCCCGCTGTGGCACGGAAAGCTATTGAATAGCGATGTCTTAAAGTCAGAAGCGTTAATCCATATGGATGAGGACGATATATTTCAGGTAGATAAGGCCGATTTGATTCAGGGACCCACTTTGGCCGAGTTGAACGCCAACGACGAGACTTTATTGGGCGATTTAAATTTTGACGACCTATTGCTGCCAGACGGCAGGACTTACGTAACAATAGGAAAAGCCATTAGCAATTTGTCGTATAATAATAACAATGAAACCCAGTATGCAAATTCTTGTCCAAGAACTGGCTTTGTGTATTACAAAGATGTTGAATTACCTTCAAGTGCCCCGGTGGCTGGAGCTCTAGATAGTTACGCCAAAAACGTCGTGCCTTCTTTTTCCTCTACCAGTTTGACTAGTTCAAGTTCTTCTTTAGTGCAATCCTCTTCTCCCCAAAACATAAACACGGGACCTCAAAAAAATTACACCCTTGACGAGCTGCTCAAACAGGAAGACTACAAACCAACCGATATTTTAGGTCAATCAGTACCAAATCGAACAACTCCGTTGTCCGCTATTAATATACTCTCATATAAAGGTGAAGTGAACAGGCTTTCCTCATCTGCTCCAACTCATTTGGGTCTCGATCAAATTTGGCAAAGAAGGGAACCAAGAAAACATTTACTTTCAACCAGTTCCTTGGTTGAAGCAGGTTCTACTTCATCCATATCGACAAGTGGCATATTGAGTCCTGATCCGCAGGATCTCTCTCACGACGAACTGGAAAGCGAAGAGGAGAGTGACGTTCAGTATGAAGACTTTTCATCAGACAATGGTAAGAGTCTATTTACTCACCAGATGTAGCATGTAATAGTTATTTAAATTTGAAATTTACCCTTATTAGTTCCATAAACTCCAATTAATATCCCAGACAGCATCCAATTCAGAAAGATTTCTGTACGAAGTCTGTTCAAACATATCTTACCGAGGTCACAATATCAGAAATCATTTGTAGGAGCTTAAGATTAAGAGTTCTTGATGAATTCATAAATGAGAAGTCAATTTTTTAACATCTTAAAGTATCTTTTTTTCTGACCTCTTATTGGAAACAAAATTAGAAGCTACTAAGGGTATCATAAATAAGACTTATAACCAGTTATATGATATCTTACATTATTCTCTTTTCTTACTTCTTACTGAAATCATATTTATTTATTTACATCATCTTACAGTCCTTGGACCAATTACAAGATGAGATATTAACCTAAACTAAATATACCTATCAAATGAAAAAAAAAATGTTATAATAAAAACAGTTGAAATATTCTACAAACTTATATAAGTACAGAACAATAAAAAGCACAATGCAAAAAAGAATAAATAAATTCGGTATTTAAAATTAAGTTTCTTATTGTTTGCAAATTGCATGAAAAAATATCAAAACTGTCTTGCAAGTCATTGTATTTATCACACATAAAGTGTACTGGAGAAAACTTTAAAACATTTGTTTTTGCACCTGGCAAATAAAAGGTAAAATTATTTCTTGCAGTAACACGAGGAACTCTTAAATACAATTTACTTAAAAGATAAGGGCAGTCGATATAATTATTTATGAGTTTAAACAAAAATACTAAAGATGCTTTTATTCTGCGGTCCTCCAAACTTTCAAAATTAAACCTTTTTAATAATATTGCTTGAGAAAATCCCACAGGTGGGTAGAACCCATCAATTCTGAAACTAAGGAGTTTAAGAAAGCGACGCTGTAAGTTTTCAAGTGAATCAGAATGTATCTCATATGAGGGATTCCATATTATTAACTCTTTAAGACGTCAACATGGAGACGTCACATTTATGACATTTTAATGCGATTACTTTCTTCTCACCGCTGTAACTGCTTGTGTTTGATATAAGAAGCAGCGAAGTAGAATTTAGGCTTTGTTATCTATGGCGTGCTCCATACCAAACGGTCTTAGTACCCTTGTAGTACTTCTATATCCAAACGGGAGATTCTAAAAAAGTATTTTTATAAGTTTATACAGTAGGACTCTAAAATGCTTAATTGCGAAGTCAAAGAAAAGGGTTCCTCAAGAGTTCTTTTTTGAGAAGTCTTGATTAGTTTATAGGTGGCGCATTCGAAGTCTTAAGAACTTCTTAAAAACTTCTTTCTGATGTTGTATTTGACGTCCAAATCATAAAATAGAGCTTATGCAGACTTAATTAAGACGTCATATTGCTGTCTGGGATTCGTCAGGTTATTATTTAGTGCAGATTTTAAGATGTTTTATATTTTTATTTAAATTTTTAGGTGATTCTGATGATGATGACGAAGCAACAAAACAAAACAAAAGAGACCGTTATTTCTGGCAGTACAATGTGCAAGCCAAAGGTCCAAAAGGTCAACGTTTGGTGACGAAAGCAAAATTGGAGGACCCTCACGTTTTAAACGAGGTTCAGGATCCAGTTTTTAGTCCAGACTGCTCTCTTAGAGGAATCAAACACAGCGGTAAGGCCAGGAAAGGCGACGGTAACGACTTGACTCCCAATCCAAGGAAATTGTTTAATATAGGAAAGGAGCTGGATAATTTGGCAAAAGTGATAAACGATATGACGCCTGTAAACGAACTGCCATTTAACGTGAGACCGACTTCGAGAAAGGAGAAAAATAAGTTGGCTTCTCGTGCTTGCAGATTAAAAAAGAAGGCACAACATGAAGCCAATAAAATTAAGCTGAGTGGATTGGAAATTGAACATAGTAAGTTAATATTTATTTAGTATTTTATACCAACACCAAATGTCACAAATTAGATAAAATATTTATAGTTATAATTAAGGAGCATTCGTGCAAAACCGGCTATATCCACTTTAATAAAATGCTGGGAAAATGGCAAAAACTCTCGGTTTCCTGGCCTTTACAGATAAAAGAAAAAGCAAACTTGAGTTGGGCTTTGTGGTACCTACTTGATTTATAAGACATACTTTCGTTTTCAAAAACTTTATATTAAGGCCAAAATTTCAAAAAATGTTTTGTATATAGCCGGTTTTGCTCGAAAACCGAATAAAAAACGAATAAAATGTTAAAAAAATCTTTATTATTCAAAAATATTAACAAAATAAATTTAGTGCAAATATGAAAAAACAGAACAAATTTTAGTAGTAGTATCGACATATCCAAGCCACATATTAATAATATGATATTATTATTTATTGGATATAGCCGGGTTTGCTATAAAAACGTGGATTTGGCCGGTTTCGCTCCTAAAGCTACCTTTTAAATGTGAGAAGAAGAAGAATTATCTTGGTTGTCGATAGAAATGAACCCAAAGATGCGAAATCAAATAAAAAACCAAAAACTGAATAAAATGGATTTAGCCGGTTTTGCACGGATGCTCCTCAATTAATATATTAATGTATTATTGTAATGTTTGTTTTCAAAGATATGTGAACAATATTTTTTTTTTTAGAACTTCTATTAAATAATCTTGAATATTTAAAGCAGACCCTTATAGCAAAGTACAAAGACAATAGATCAGAGAAAAAGGAGGAGTATGCTAAAACCTTGGATAAACTGGCTAAAAGCAGTCAAAGTATGAATACCTATATAAAACATTTTTTTTTCAATATTTTTAATTACATTTTATTTTTAGAAGTAAGAATAGCTGGTCAAACCACTGAGTATGTAAACAAGATAATTGAAAAATACAAACCAGTAAATCGTAGTACCGAGGATTTATAGAAATAGGTTAAAGGTAATGCTAGGTTATTTATTTTTAAACCAGGTGCTTTGGCATAGGTTAATGTCCTCACAATATTTTGCTTTCTAAATTTTAGAAATTTTGTTTATAAATTTATTGGGACCAGAAATACAATATAAGGCTTGTTCCTACCGAGCATATTGTATTTAAATTTGTATTTAATGGCAGAGTTAACCAAATATTTTAATAACTAAGTTACATTTTAGTTTTGAAAACATTATTATTACCTATTAAAGTCGTAATGTGTTCAATAAATTTAAAAAAATAAGGATACAGGTTTATAGGATTTTGTAAAAATAAAACCTTAGACCATACACAATAGTCGAAGGAAAAAACAACAAAGTTTACTAGGCTACCTATTAAAATTGCAATTATCTCCTTAACAAAGCTAAAATATAAAAAAATAGAATAGGCGATTTTCCCTTGTCAAAAAAACTCCAAAATTTTAAGTTTTTAAAAAAGGCGTTTCAATTATTGAGAGAATAACGTCATGAACAGAATTCATTTAAAAAAAATCTATAAATTTAACTAAAGAAAACCTAACCTTTATTAAAACTCAATACAACTTATTGCTTAATAAAAACTGCTAAATCTACCTTATCTGTGTAGTGTGTTCCCCAGTGCTCCACAATAATAAAATAAGAAATTACACTAATCGAGATAAAAACTATAAAAGATCAGCCAAAAGTTTCAAATAGAGGTAGCGATATTATCGATAGTTTCTATATTTTAAAAACTATGGAATTATCGATTCTACCGATAGATACAGACTATCGTCTAGCGGTAGTTGTATAAAAAAATATAACTGGTTGGTTTTTTATTCGGAATTTGACGACGTTAAAAATTTGGGGTTTTAGTTGGCAAAATCTAGGGACCCTAGATTTACCAACGGTGGTAATCCTGGGAAAAAAACAGAAAACTGTTAAATCAAGTAAACTGTCAAAATATGTGCTGTCCACGGTCTTATATACAGGTCTTGCAACTTCGCCCAATTTCAATAGGAAAAGTGACCTCTCTAATGAGACACCCACCAGATGGCGCATCGAGTTGAGGGTGAACCATAGATGTTTAAAGGTCGTTTTTACCTTCTTTATCTTTGGGTTTTACAATCGTTAGATAAGCTCTCTGGTGGATAATTTTCTTAGATAGAAGGTTTCTATGAAAGTTATCCGCCAAATAAGCTAACTTAATCTAACGATTGTAAAACCGGCTCTAAGTCCTTAAAGTCTATGGGATAAAAGGTCAAATGAACTACCTTCTGTGTTAAGAAACATAACCTACATTTTTATAAACAAGCTTGTGTATTTTGTTACAGGGAGTTTTTACTTATTAATTAGATTAAAATAGCTGACAGTTTATAAACTACCCAGCTACTTTATAAACTATCCATGTTTACACATTTACGATATACGTATGATATGATATGATATACGTATCGTCACCTGAGAATTATAGTGTTCTATCTGCATTTTCTTTTTTTTATTCAGGTTAGTCTTGTTTTAAGTATTAAAGATGCATATTGTTCTATCTATATATAATTGGGGTAGACATTGTATAGTTTAAGCCTTAAACTTTACAATTTCTACCCCAATTATATATAGATAGATCAATATCATCTTTAAGACTGAAAACAAGACTAACATGAATAAAAAAAAGAAAATGTAGATAGAACACTATAATTCTCAGGTGACGGTATGTATTTTATACATTAACATGTTTTACTTACATGTTTGGTCTGGGCATGTGACGGCCGAGGACTTTGTGCATAGAGTATAGACTTTGTTGTCCTATTTTGTTAACGTAAATTATCCGAAACAAACTCACAAATATTAAATTTTTGAAAATGTAAACAAAACATAGAAAAAGAATTTAAAAAGTTAGGTTATGGTTATGCAGTAGTTCCACATTTAACTAAGTAGTAGTTTAATTGACTTTACCCCTTCGATCTTAGCGCCACCTAGCGGCTTGGCACGTTAAGGAAGCCACCTCGAAGCTTAAAGTTGCAAGACCTGTATATAAGACCGTGGTGCTGTCAATTATTTTATTGTTGATGTCATGGAGCCTAAGGAAAGTAGGCGCTGGTGTACCGTTTATTCTGAAACAATTGACTAATTTGTACCGAAACGCTATCAAAAGAGCAGATGTCAGTACGCATCAACAATCAGCGCCGCTGGTGGTGAAAAAAAAGACTTAATTTGTGCAATTTAGAGGGCAGGTTTTGTCAATTTTCCCTATTAAGTTCGGACTCCTTGTGTAGACTCCATGTTTTGAAACTCAATAGCTATTATAGATTTTGATATAATGGTTTTAATAACTAAAGTAGATATTTATATTGAAATACTATACTATATTTTTGACTCCTGTATTTGGTAGGTTGAAAATGTGCCACTATAAAAATAAATCTTTTATTTTTTAATAAAATAAAAACTATATGGTTTTGAAATTTTAGTTAACTATCGATAGTCGCTTTTCTCACTATCGATACTTTTGACCACTATCGCTACCTCTAGTTTTAAATAATTTAATCTAAATCAAAACAAGAACAGGCTGTGAATAATTCGTCTCTGTCCTGCCGACTCTCAACGATGTAGTGAGTTTGCGCCTGGATTTTTATTTAGGCTTAGTATAATTGATTGTTTTTTTACTTTTTATTGGGTAGAACTTTTGTAAAAATGTATTAGGCCAAAAGCTAAATACAAAAAGTCGTTCGTTCCTTCATTTTGACCCTGACGAGCCGCCACTGCTCTTAAATTAATAAATCTAAACTCTTAAAATTAAAGCCACACCCAAATTGTATTATGCTCAATTTAGGTGTAACTCTAAATATAAGTATTTAAGGGCTTAACTCTAATAACCTAAAAGTGTTATTGATTAATAAATATCGTTATAACGATAATAAATTTTTATACGAAATTTTTTGGAATGAAAGAAAACACAATAAATCTTTATAACGGCTACTTTTAATAATTATTTCAATTGAATAATCTTCTTTACTTGTGAGCTGAATTTTTACACTTGTTGGTTAGTATTATAATAATTCTATTATTTTTAAAGTTGATTGCAATTTTTGTATTAAATCCTCATCTTTAAAATATTTGGTGGTTTTATGGTTCGAATAGGCCTCTCAAAACCGTAAATTATCCGAAACAAACTCACAAATATTAAATTTTTGAAAATGTAAACAAAACATAGAAAAAGAATTTAAAAAGTTAGGTTATGGTTATGCAGTAGTTCCACATTTAACTAAGTAGTAGTTTAATTGACTTTACCCCTTCGATCTTAGCGCCACCTAGCGGCTTGGCACGTTAAGGAAGCCACCTCGAAGCTTAAAGTTGCAAGACCTGTATATAAGACCGTGGTGCTGTCAATTATTTTATTGTTGATGTCATGGAGCCTAAGGAAAGTAGGCGCTGGTGTACCGTTTATTCTGAAACAATTGACTAATTTGTACCGAAACGCTATCAAAAGAGCAGATGTCAGTACGCATCAACAATCAGCGCCGCTGGTGGTGAAAAAAAAGACTTAATTTGTGCAATTTAGAGGGCAGGTTTTGTCAATTTTCCCTATTAAGTTCGGACTCCTTGTGTAGACTCCATGTTTTGAAACTCAATAGCTATTATAGATTTTGATATAATGGTTTTAATAACTAAAGTAGATATTTATATTGAAATACTATACTATATTTTTGACTCCTGTATTTGGTAGGTTGAAAATGTGCCACTATAAAAATAAATCTTTTATTTTTTAATAAAATAAAAACTATATAGGCTTAGTATAATTGATTGTTTTTTTACTTTTTATTGGGTAGAACTTTTGTAAAAATGTATTAGGCCAAAAGCTAAATACAAAAAGTCGTTCGTTCCTTCATTTTGACCCTGACGAGCCGCCACTGCTCTTAAATTAATAAATCTAAACTCTTAAAATTAAAGCCACACCCAAATTGTATTATGCTCAATTTAGGTGTAACTCTAAATATAAGTATTTAAGGGCTTAACTCTAATAACCTAAAAGTGTTATTGATTAATAAATATCGTTATAACGATAATAAATTTTTATACGAAATTTTTTGGAATGAAAGAAAACACAATAAATCTTTATAACGGCTACTTTTAATAATTATTTCAATTGAATAATCTTCTTTACTTGTGAGCTGAATTTTTACACTTGTTGGTTAGTATTATAATAATTCTATTATTTTTAAAGTTGATTGCAATTTTTGTATTAAATCCTCATCTTTAAAATATTTGGTGGCTTTTTCTAAATTTTTGTCGAGGCCTGGTTTTGTTTTTTATGACACTTCCCTTTTTCCTTAATTAGAATGGTCTGCAAAGTTTACATCCTTATAAACTATCTTGGTCATGTCGAGTAAAAAATCGCGGATATTTTTAGTCCGCACATTTTCCATTATATTGGGATTTCAATCCCATATCCAATGTTTACATTGACAGTTTCTGGAGTGTTTTCATTACCAAAATATTACTATAGGAATTATTTTCCATTGATCTTTATTGTTAGTTTCTGCTGGATTATGATAAATTTTTCTTAGTAGTCATTTTGATGATTATAATCATTGTCTATATCTTCATAGAAGTTGTTCCCAAGTTTTTTATCGTCAAATTTTAATTCCTCGTCGGTTAATGGAGTAGCTCCAGTTTCAAGAAGTAGTGGGAAGGGAAGTTCGACGCTTTTGTAGTCAGCCTTCATGTGCAATGTGCTGAAGATTTGGAGGTTTCTTGTTTTTAAAACATCAGATGTTTGGAATCATTTGACTGCAGCTAAAACCAAAATATCAATCATAAAGAATTAGACGATTCAATAATAACTTACTCTATCATCTTCCTTTTCGTCCAGAGTATAATATTTCCTGGCTCTTTTAATTTCTGTTAAAATTTCAGCATGTTTTTGCTTCCTGTTTTCTTTGATTACCTAAAAATCATTAAAATTATCAAAAATAAAAAAAACACCTTTAAAAGCAAAAACAAAATATAGCTGGTAGCTAGGAGATTACGAATATAATTGGTAAATGTTTTTATTGCTAGACCACGAAAAATTTCTGCACTGATTGGAAGGGAAAAACGTAATATTTTTAATGAAAAGGTACGGTTTCTGAAAAAATAAAAGATTTTGTTAATTTTTTGATTATACAGGGTGTTTCGTAATATATGCGCAGGACTTCAGGATGTGATAGCTCATCCAAAAAGATGAAAAAAGTCGCTATTAACTTACCCTCTAAAATGCACAATTTTCGAGATACAGGGTGTTGAAATTTTAGAAAAAAAATCGTTTTTTTCGATTATCTCTGGAACCGTTTGTCGTACAAAAAAAAGCTTTGGTAAGCATTTTCTACTCATAATAAGTTATGTTTTGGGCTTACTCATAATTGGTGGAGATTTTGAAGGGGTAGCGGGTGTTTTTCTCCTTAACTTTAACGCCCCTGAAAAAAGTACGGTTTTGAGAGGCCCATTCGAACCGCCAATGTTTTCTACACAAAAAAGGTACTCTTGGTCATAAGCTCTAAAGTTGACCGTTTTCGAGAAAAATTAACTTTTATGTTTAAAAACATGTTCAATTTAAAAAAAAAAATTTTATTAGGTACTAATTAAAAAAATTTATTTGAACGTTAGAAAAAGTAACAAAACCAAACGATAATTGCAAAATTAAAAAAAAATAAAAAATGATTTTTTACACAAATGCTGAAATGTTCGAAATGCGTTACCTTTACGGTTTGGAGAATTTAGCAAAGACAACTTTAGAATCATTTTTTATTTTGCAATTATGGTTTGGTTTTGTTACTTGTTCTAACGTTAAAATAAATTTTGTTTAATTAGTAAAAAAAAATTATTTTTTTTTTAATTGACCATGTTTTTAAACATAAAAGTTGATTTTTCTCGAAAACGGTCAACTTTAGAGCTTATGACCAAGAGTACCTTTTTTGTGTAGAAAACATTGGCGGTTCGAATAGGCCTCTCAAAACCGTACATTTTTCAGGGGCCTAGAAGTTGAGGAGAAAAACACCCGCTACCCCTTCAAAATCTCCACCAATTATGAGGAAAAAAAATGCTTACAAAAGCTGTTTTTTGTATGATAAACGGTTCCGGAGATATTCGAAAAAAACGAATTTTTTTTCTAAAATTTCAACACCCTGTATCTCGAAAATTGTGCATTTTAGAGCGTAAGTTAATAGCGACTTTTTCATCTTTTTGGATGAGTTATCACATCCTGAAGTCCTGCGCATATATTATGAAACACCCTGTATTGCTTAAGCACTACAATTGTAGGTACCTATTTAATGTTAGTACTTCCCTGCTTAAAATACCTCATAGAGACCCTGTTCAAACCGATAGATATTTGTATCAGAATGTATGGTGTTTCTATAGGGTGTATCAGTATGTACATATAGGACCCATAGTTGGGATTTATGATTGTTCTATAGGGATATCCACCCTTGATTTATTTGCTATTGGTTTCAATGGGGAAAATACACATAAATGTAGAATTTAGTTTTTCCCTCATATGACCCCATAGGTTTTAATAAAATTTTGTCAAATGTTTTATGGTTGCTCTATAGGGATATCCCTATATATCCTTCATTGAGATATTTGCTATCGGTCTCAATAGGGAAAATGTAAAAGTTATAGTGTGCCTATAGGTAATTTCCTATAAATTTTCTATCGGGCCGTATCTGGAAAAAACCATGGACAAATGCACATATTGAATCCGGTAGCGCCCGAAGGATTATTTTGTATAGGTCTCTATGGGGAAATTTAAGCAGGGTTGTACTCGACAAACTTAAGTCAATTGACAATCAGGCGCGCCGCGGTCAGGCAATTTAAAATATACCGATATATTTTCTAACATTTAAATCCCACGTCACTACCTGTATGCTCAACTGACTATATTTGGCAATTTGCACCGTGATCGCTTTTTATTTTTTTCACTTATTCACAAATCTAGCTGTTAAAGTGGTTGGTGCAATGCACATAGCACTTTAACGGCTGGATTTTGACATTTTAATAAAAAAATTATTGAGATTGTATTTTGTATCGACTATTTCCCTCGTCTTAATTTCCACCAATCACAAACGCGCAATTTTGAATTAAAAATGGTTTCTAGGTGGAAAAACTGTATGACAGCCCCTGCCAGCTGTTTTTTCCAGTTTACCCCATACAGTGCTTGCAAATCCAAGTCCGACCGGTTTGGGAAGGACGCGTGAAAATAACAAGGATAGAACGCCAAACAGAAGGCGATTACAATACGCACGCCTGACGCTCTGACCAATCAAATTCTGTTTGGCATTCTATCCTTATTCTTTTCACGCGGGTATTGAACAACCATCCTTCCCAACGCGGTCGGACTTGGATTTGCAAGCACTGTATACTGTGGTAACCCAGATAGCACAAAGAAGTACTGGAAACGTCCTGAGTATATCTTGTATCTGACATTAGTAAGTCCCGAGTACGTCCGAATCAGGTCCTGAACCTTCCCCAGGACGTACCAGGGACATCCGATGTTACCAAATCATCGGTCCCCAGAACGTCCTAAGTAAGACATCCTTTGGCCGTCCTGAAATACTTTATTGGGGATTATTGGACAAGCACTACAGAATTGAAGAGAGGTATTCCCAAAGGATCTAAGTGACAAAAATAAAATTGTGAGTTATCAATGAAAAACAAATATTTTGAACATATAAATGTTGGAATATTTTTTAAGTCATTCTGCATGACAAACTATTTTTAAATGATAATATATTATTTAGCCAACTTGACACTTAGACCCTTTGGAAATACCATGCTTCAATTGCTAAAAAAACAAAAATTACGTCATTGGGACGTACCGAGTATATCCGCTTTAATTTTCCTAAATAAGTAAGAGACTGGACGTACTCAAAACTTCCGATATAGGTCTGGTACGTTCGGACCTATGTGGGACCAGAAATGGACGTCCTGGGTACCTCTTGTGCTATCTGGGAAGTATATATATGGTTTACCCGCGGCAAAACTTGACAGCTGTTGTCGCCAAAAATTACATGTATAATAGGTAGTATGTTTTGTAAGCTTTGTGTATGCAAAATAACTGTTACTCATAAAATAGTCTTGTCAAATACCATTCGGGTGAAAAAAAAACGAAAAAAAACAATGCTAAGTTAAATGCATTCGCGCAGGTGCAAAAATCCTCGTCTTCGACTCGGATTTTTGTTGCCCCCAGCATTCATGCTTATTGTTAAAATATTACTTAGCAACGTGTTTTTTCGATTTTTTTCCGAAAAATAATTATTAGATGCCCTTATAATATTACTGCACATTGAAAAAACGGTGAGTGTACACGGTTGAGTGTGCTTGCTTAATTAAACTGAAGTTTACACTGAATAATTGTGTATAACCACTCAAGTTTCAGAGTACACCCAGAATAGTTGAGTATAAACACTCAAGTTTGAGGGTTAATACTGGATCGTTAAGTGCATATATGCACTCATACCTACACTCATATTTGAGAGTTAACACCCAAGTTTGAGGGTTAACACTGAATCGTTAAGTGTATAAACTCAAATTTGAGAGTTTACACTGAATAACTATTATAATATATTATATATTATATACTCAACTGAGTATAAAAACATAACTTTGGGAGTTAACACTGGATTTTTAAGTGTATATACACTCAAAATTAGGTTTAAACACTCAAATTTGGATTAAACACTGAAATTTGGGTGTAAATACCCAAAATTTTAGAGTTTTTTTGACAAGGGTTTATTTGTTATAAGCGTACAAAAGTGTGCTTGGTTTTTAAAATATGATTTATATTTTAAAATATAAAAATAATAAAAACGAATGAATAATGAACATATTACACTGACAGTGTTTTGGAAATTTATTACCTATAATAATTATTATTATAATTATAATTATTTAAAATTTTTATTGTGGATTGGATTTTAATTAGTTTTTTCTTTACTTTTTGCTGAGACATTTTTTTGAGATCAATATTTAATAAAACCAAAATCAATACCGAAATTGAAAACCGATAATACCACGCTGTAATTACAGGAATGGTGATTTAATTTTATTTTTGTTATTTTAATATTTTGATACTATTTAAAAGGATATAAAACAAATTTTTATTACGTTTTAAAAATAAAAAGTTTAAATTTGTTTATAATAAAGTTACCTATATAATAATTTAAAGTTTGAATTTTTTGAAATTGTTGCTGTGGATGCGCTGTGTTTTGTTTAATAACTGGAAATGTTTTGTTTGTGTTTTAGGTTAAACAAAATTTCTTGGGTGATCCAATCAAATTCATCCTAATGTAAATATTTATTTAAAAACTATATCAGGGTTAAAATGGTTTTTAAAGTTTATAAACTTTGTGTGCATTACATATTTTAAAAATATAATAAATGCACTGCTTTATGGAGTGAGATCTGATGTAATGTGAAATTCACAATATTTACTATATTATGTAAAATAATTAAGGCCACTGGATGCTAATCATAATATTTGTATATTATATATTTATTGACTACAATGATTTTATATTTTTAGGTATTTTATATTTTTGGGTATTTTTTTAATTTTAATATTTTTTTATAACAACAGTGGATTAACGATAAACTAATAAAACAAATAAAATATAAAAAGTACAAAGCTTTTAAACAAAATTTAATAGGAATGTATTTATGTAAACAAAAAGTAAATCATAATTCTTGGATGAATTATTGGATGATTTTGTAATTTTTTAATTTTATTTTAATAACAAGTGAAAATATTAAACATTTAATATTTATGTATGTGGGTACAATAATTTTTTAGAAATCTAAATTTATTCCTTACTATAATCTTTTTAGGAAAAAGGCAAATTGATGGATACATAAAGTAAAATGTGCTTTTTATCAAAAACCAAAATTTAGATATCAAATTATATTTATTTACTTTTTATTCATAAAAAAATGTAAATAATGTCAACTTCATAATGTCAACATAACATGGGCGAAAAAGCCTCTGCTAAAGAATTGGATGGGTTTATAAGATATAAAACACAACAATTAATTTAAATAAAAAAACATTTCAAGCAAATTTATTTCTCATACTTAATCAAATTTATTTTTATTAAAAAGGATAATCAAGAAAGATTTGCACAGGCCAAAAGTCTAAATTATATTTCAAACTTTTATTTTGCCAAAAACAAAACTTTGTTATTTTGATTTTGTTTTTGCAAAGATAACTTAAGTGAAAGAACTTTAAGTGAAAAATCGTATAAGCCCATAAGAATAGGTTTAGAAGTTATTATTTAACTTAAATTAAAAATACATGCTTAAGGTTGACTTGTACATTGACCTTATTCAGGTCAAAAGTTAAAACCATATTTTAATTTGTTTCATTGGGTTTATCAAACACATTACAGCTTTACCCAAATTTTTTAACATACTTAAAATATTCTGGAGGTCTTTATTATTAATATTATTATTATGACATGTTTGTTAAAATTGCACTTAATTGCACTTTTAGTGCAGTATTTTTATTTAAATAATAACATTGTTTCAAATTTAAAAGCTTAAAAATATAATTTATATACAAAGTACTATTTTTACATACATATGACATATTTTATTAAGTTTAACCTTTATTTATAAACGTTATTATTTGTAGAATATTTGCCATGCAGCCTTGCAATTTCTGAATGTATTGTATTTTTCGATATAAGTAATATCAAATGAGTGTTTTATAAAACTCAAGCATGCTTTAAAAACAGTAATTTTAAAGTTAAAACACTATTAGATTTGTATTTATAAAGATGCACTGTTTTATAACGCCTTGTAGCATAGATAAATAAGGTATTCTACTTTTCATGTACTATAAAAGCTTGTATCTGGTTAAAATGATATGTTTTAACCAAAACATTATTTACAAAACGAGCTTACAGCGAATTTTGTAAGTATTGTATGTATTGTTCATTTTTGCAAAAATAAATAATTATTGTAGCAACGTAAATTTATTTAATAATTTTATATATTTTTAAATCTTAATAATTTTTAACCAGTCGTTGAAAATAAATAATTCTTTAAAATTATTTATTTATTTTAATTAATTAGCCATTTTTTTTAAATTTAAACTTAATTATTTATGAACTATTTAAAAAATAATTAATACAATAACTTAATAAATACTATCTACAGCCATCTATTTAAATATTGTAATTTAATTTTAAATGCATGATTGTGGTTAAAAAGTATAAATATTATTTTTATAACAATTATTAACTACAACTCGCAAAAAAGTAGAATAACCTGTTTAATTAGTAAGTTATGTACACTATTTTACCAATGCTCTTATGCCATAATATTTAACTTTATCCTGTAAATTGGTATTTATACCTACATATATAGTTTTATATACATAAGTATTTTTAAGTGAAAGAAATTGTAGAGGTTTCTTTGTAACAAAGTCTAAAATATATATATATTTCTGTGATATACTTACAAAGTTTAATTATTTTTATATTTTAATAATATTGTCTTATAGAAGACAGTAACAAGTTTTAATTTTCAGCTATTAGGCATTTAGTTTCAAAAAAGGTGTATGTTTAGATTTGTGATTTATTGGAATGAAAAAAGAAATTGCGGCTGTGATTTACATGAGGTTATTTTAGTTTTTTTTGTAATTTAAGTGTTAACAAATTGAGTACATTTTATTTATACAAATAAATGATGATGAGGTAGTACCTATTATGGTTTGTAACATATTCAATAAATTAATGTTTCTCCTTATGTTAAAATGCAATGTTTGTTTTATTTATAACTACAAATTATATTACTTTAAAAACACAATAAACAAATAAACTGAAAACATGAGCATTTTTGTATATTTACAAAGTTATATTTGTTTTCAAAAATTATGGTTTTGAAATGATTCATTTAAAAAACTAGATGTAAAAAAATTTTTTTCATATACATTTTTTCGTAAGTATATCTATTATTTTGCCTTGTCAGGATTACAGGATTAAATAAAAAAATAGTAGGTGTAATATTGGTTGCCTACATATAAAAACTTAATTTATTGTTTTGGATCCAGTTCTAAGTTTATCCCTAATGACTAATTGACATTATTTTGCTAATAAATAATTTGTTGAGATTACAATAAATATATATTTATATGTATAGGTACAGGGTGTCCCAGGTTTGTCCAAATATTGTTTTGTCTTCTAAATGTGAACTACAATTACCTATTTTAAAATAAATATTAAAATTAAAATTTTAATTATTGGTATGCATATAATAGGTAATTTATTTATTTATTTTTTTTTTTTTTAATTATTTGTATGCATGCAATAGGTAATTTATTTATTTATATATATATATAAATAAATAAATTACCTATTTAAAGTATTTTGCTTTAATATTACGTAGGTGAGTATTTTTTAGAGATCATGCACTTTAGGATAACCAAACTTTTTTCACTGCAGTGGCATACGAGCATTCGATTTATTTATAAATAAATCGTAGTAAGGTATATATAAAAATATCTAATTGCATGCAATTTCATGCATGAATAAAACTATGTTCTATTCTCAAGAGGGTGAATTGGGATACTTAAAAAAAATAGGTAAACAATGTTGTACAAGTACATTTAAAATTCTTTATTGTTAATTTTACGGGGGTTCAGGAGTGGTTGCAATGGTTTAATATAGAATTGGCCCCTTATTTTTTCCTAGAACCGCGCGAGCAAATACGTAGGGTTGGAGCTGGTAAGATAAGAGATATGAAAGAAAAGACAAATTTTGTCCAGGGCCGTCCATAAATCTTGTGCCTTAAAAGTGGTCAAACTGTTTGACTCAAACATGACTCTCCCTTGTGACAGAATGTGACTATGTAAAAAGGGTCAAACTGTTGGGAATATTTAAAGAAAAATAATTTGGAATTTTTTTAAATGTTCATTTCTTTTTTGTACTAGCCAACTAAAAAAAGAACAAATAAGTAATTTATTTCGATTAACTTTGTCACATGACGTTTTGAAAAACATTCTCCCCCGGGCGTGACAAATCGTACGATCGTGACGGTCCTTCAAACTCCCTGAAGAAAGGCCCCAGATAGCACAAGAGGTACCCAGGACGTCCATTTGGGGTCCCACATAGGTCCGAACGTCCCAGACCTATATCGGAAGTTTTGGGTACGTCCAGTCTCTTGCTTATTTGGGAAAATTAAAGCGGATATACTCGGTACGTCCCAATTGGGAATGACGTAATTTTTGTTTTTTTAGTAATTGAAGCATGGTATTTCCAAAGGGTCTAAGTGCCAAGTTGGTTAAATAATATATTATCATTTAAAAATAGTTTGTGTCATGCAGAATAACTTAAAAAATATTCCAACATTTATACAGGGTGAGTCATATAACTTGAAACTTTGAAATATCTCAGTTAGTATGCATTTTACGAAAAGATGTTTAAGATAAAACTTAAATGATTCGAGGGGGAAATCAATCAGTACTAAAATTGGTACTCATACTCTCCTCCTTATAGGGGGAACAGGGGTAACTTTAAAATTTACAATGGAAAACCCTATTTTTTATTGCAGATTCGGATCATTCGACTAAAAATAGGTAGATTTTGTCTAAAACATTTTTTCATATTTGAAATGAAAAAAAATCAATTTTGTTCGATTTTTCTTCTGTATACGATTCTTCAATAATTTTTGAGTAAAATACTTGATTTTATTTTTTAAATTTATTTATTTATTAAATTGGTTGGTGCTCAAAATGGTGGCCTTCGACTTCAATTAATTTGTATTTTTTTTTTGTATTTCGTTTTAATATTCTGCTAACACTCTTCTGGGATATTCCCAAATCTCTAGATAATTCTCGTGTGCTTGCATGAGGATTAGCGGCCGTTGCTGCTAATACATTAATTTCATTATTTCCACCTGTGACTCTTGCTGGACGAACTCTTTTTTTTTGGTTGAACACTCCTGTTTGTAGTAAACTGCTTGACTGTACGGTGAAATGAAGTCCGTGATCGAATTTTATCCGGAAAACGCTGAGCGTAGATATTAACAGCATCATCAAGATTATTGCCTGCTTCTCCATAAATCAAAATCATTTCTATTTTTTCTTCCACTGTTAAAAAACACATTATGAATAACTGCTTAACGAAAGGAGGTCTTTTTGTTTGCAAATTAATCTTCGAACTAAATTGATTAAATAATGCCAAACTATAAATAGTTTCTTTATACCTCAATAATAATTATTATTTATAACTAAATACCATTTTTTATCTCAATTAGGATTAAATTAATTAATTGACAAAATAATGTTTTTTAACCTTAAATGAGGTATTTTTATTAAAAATAGTACAATAATCCTTTA